GTTCGTCGTGGGATTTCGCCGCGGTTATTCCACAGCCTTATCTCATGTTGATTTGCATATTCAGAGTTGAGCGTTTATGTGGTTTGTATATAAACAAGTCATTCTAACGAAAGATAATTTGATTAAGCGCAACTGGACAGGTTCTACTAGGTGTAGTTTCCGTGATCGGGATGAAAATATCAAGCATCTTTTCTATGATTGCCCGTTGGCGAGGGTGCTATGGCGCTCGGTGCAAATTGCTTTTAACATTACTCCTCCGAATTCGGTTAGGTCGTTTTTTGGAACGTGGCTTGCCGGTATAGAGGCCGAAATAGCTAGACAAATTCGAGTAGGAGCATGTGCATTGTTATGGGCAATTTGGAACTGCATAAATGATTTGGCTTTTAACAGAACAACTACTATTCATTTTTTGCAGGTTTTGTTCCGGGCTACTGCGCTAATCCGTATGTGGTCCTTACTCACTCCGACGGAGGCCAGGGAGCGTTTGGTTACTGGATCTCTCCGGTGGGAGACGGTAGCGCGGGATATCTTCAACCGGTTTAGATGGCGGTCATGTAATAGGATAGGCGATTAGTTTACCTATCTATCTTTTGCTAGCCGGTTGTGGCTTTTGGGCCTTGTTTTCCTTTTACTAGCTCTTTGTGAGCCAGCTTCTTATTTTGATGCAGACTGCAAGACCTTGTTAAACTACTTTATTTATTTATGAATGTGGCCGCATGCATCGTTTTGATGCAGAGGTCAGGGAGTCCCCCTTTTCGAAAGAAAAAAAGAAAAAAGAAAAAGCGTCCAGGACCGAGTTGATTCACACTATTGCTGAGTTTTCTGACGGCGGCATCAGCAGTCAAACGATCAAGTTTTGGAAGCCAAACTAAACCAACTCGTGTGCATCTTGGTGAAATTATTCCATGCTTCTGGAGGCGTTGATCGCCAGGGCCTATGCGTCGCTGCAACATAGGCGGTGCGGTGGTGGCGGCAATACAATGACGATAACATTTGTTCCATGCTTCTGCAACAACGAAGGAGCTTCCACAACGACGACGACATTTGTTCCATGCTTCTGCAACGATGATGGGCGGCACCGACCACCGCCTCCGCCACGACATCCAAGGTGGTACGAGCTCGGCAGAGGGGCACTATGAATAATAATGTGTGAGCGCGACAAAGGCGACGTTTGCATAGCCACAAGGGTAACACAGGGGATGTTGCGATGGCGGGGTCCATCAGACAGCCCAAGCGAGCGTTCACCCGAGCACGCAATACAGCTCATGCATGTTGCAAACTGCTCGACGCGGTGATCGGGCAGCTGCCGCGTGTGCCATCCAATGACTGTGAAGGCGGCCGATCCGATCAAAATATCATCCGACCGATGCACAACCGGTCCCAAATTTTTTGGTGGCGGCAGCCCCTTCCCATCTATCGGCCCAACCCTCCCTTCTCTTCCCCAGCCCAGATTAAAATAAATCAAGGCGGATCTGGGATCGATCCACACCTGCATCGGAGAGGAAGCCTCAAAAAAAAAAAAAACCTGCATCGGAGAGGAGCGGATCGGAAGAGCTTGATGGCACTCGATCTGGGATCCATGTTCCTAGACCTAGCTGCAGCTGCTGCTGCTTACGGCCGCCTCGACGAGGACGACGACGCCCACGCGAAGCCTGACAAGAGTCCATCACAGGATTCTCCGTCCCTGAATCCCCCTGCTTATGGCTACCCCGACGGCGGCGGCGACCAGCCACGCTTCGTCTTCGTCGAGCCGTGTGCCTACTTTGCCGACCGCCGCAACGCCACCACCGCCGGCTGCAGCATGGACGGCCTCCGTCTCCGGGGGGACATCGAGGTCACCTTCTGCACCGTCCAACCACCGCAGGTCTCCTACCTCTGCGTCCACACCACCGCCACCGACCACACTGTGTTCGCCGTCCGGCCTAATATAGTTGCCACAGAGACTGACGGCGGCCTCGTCCTCCTATGCGTCGCCGTCGGCGACCGCCCATCCGATGCCATGTTTCGCCACAAACGACACTACTTCGTCTACGACGCCAGCGTCCCCGAGCTCAAGCACATCAAGCAGCCCGGCGACGACCACCCAGTCAACGAGCGGTCGTTCGCCATTGTGCGCAAACCTGACCGCAGCTACGTCCTCGCCGCACAAGCCGGTGTGTTCTTCGGATACCGCAACCCTTCTGCTCACCTCTGCCTGTATAACTCCGGTACCAACTCCTGGAGCAAACTGCGGGTGAATGTCGATTCAGTCCCCTACGACGAGTTCATCACATACAATGCATTCACCGTCGGAGGAGATAAAGGCACAGTGGCCTGGGTAGATCTCTCACATATGATCATCTTCTGCAACGTGCTGGACAAACGCCCCAAGCTTCGTTTCCTAAGACTACCGATCCAGCCGACGAATGCAGGTGGATTGCCGGCTGTTCGGGACGTCTCGGTCCTTGATGGCTTCATCAAGATGGTCGAGCTGCAGCACCGTGCCAATGGTTGGAAGGCCACAATATGGAGCATCAAGACTGGTATCTTCTCCAAAATGGCTTGGCGCGTCGATTACCAGTTCGATTCGTCTGATATACCCGAACCGTCGCTGCCTAAGCTGAAGCTCCCTGAAGGTGTCACGGCTCAGCCTACCTTGTCGACTCTCCATATTGGCCTGCCCAAGCTGAGCCTGCCAGATGATGGAATTCTTTATTTACTAGCCAAGATTGACTACCGTGACAGGCAGCACACAGCGTGGGTGCTTGCTGTTGACATGAAGAACAAGACTGTCCAGAGAGTGGCCGGGTTTAGCCCTAAGAGGGCTATTGGTTTATGCAGGGGCTACGATTCAAGTACAATCTCCAAATATCTCAAAGTTGCTTCAGGTAACTTTTTCCACCGCTGCCTTACCATCTGCCACTTCCTGTGCATGCTAAATTATATTACCAGATTAATTAAAACAAGTTCTTCATGGTGGAGAGAGGGAGGGGGGGCTGTATCATCATATCAATCACACACAGACATTTTAGGGTCTAGGGTGGATACTCTGAGTTCAACCGAAATAAGATATGCTAGTTAGGTCAATGGTACTCCCTCCGTTCGAAAAAGCTTGTCCCTTAAATGAATGTATCTACCACCAAGTCAGTGCTAGATACATTCATTTGAAAGACAAGCTTTTTCGAGCGGAGGGAGTACGTACCATTCATCTGAAGACATTTCTAGGATCGGTGACGTCTAGCGCTGCTGATTTGGGAATACCATGCTGAGGTGTTGAAGACATTATAGTATATAGATACACACCGGCAACATACAAATCTAGCATGTGGTGGAAGCAGATATACGGCCAATACTCAAGTAAAATGCTAGCATTTGGGAACCACTGAAATTCTCCCCAGAGCAATTACCTTTTCCTGTGACACATTTCCACTTGGGTGTTGCTGGATTCTACTACTATAAACTATTTACTTGTAGATCAGCTCTACATCTTCTAACAAGTCTGAACTATTTCAGCTTTCCGTTTCACAAGGAAGCCCAAATTAAGTGGTGGTTATATATTAGGGCTGCGCTATGTAGTCGTTTATGGATCAGCTTCTTGTTTCTTCCCAACAATTACTGAAGACTTGTGCTAAATTTGATGCGCCAGGTACAAAAGAAAATTAATATCGAAAGGACCAGAGATGCCATTACTACGATGCAAGTAGGATCTCCAGAAATCTCCAAACAAGCTAGCTAGCCAGGGAATCCATATGATTGCCGGGACAAGAAGGCGCAGCTGCAGTGTGCATGATATATGGTGTTGGGCGGGCCGATGATTAATCCGGGTGTGGTATGAGATGAGCAAGGCTAGTGATTCCCTGGCATATCAAGTTAGAACTAATATATAATCTTTTAGATAAAAGACCTTACATTAGTTTACAGAGGAACACTTCTTAGAAATGCAGTACAATATGCGTTGCCCTTTTGATTGCTGCAGGGTGTCTGTTGTCATGTCTTGTGCACAGATATGCAGGACAACTTGCTGCACGTACGTTTGATGTTTATTAGGTGGTGGCGTGGACTTTATTTCTCGACGATTTGATGTTTACTAGGATTTTCATATAGGCTTGCTTGCTGAATTAATTAACCAAGTGATGTTGGGATCATAGCGCGCGGACGTGCAACATGAAGTAAGTCTCACGGTGCGATCAACGCCTCCAGAATCACGGTGCGATCTATCGTCATCTGGGGAAGCTACGAGGAAGCTATCGTCATCTGGGGTGACACGCTCTTGGTTAGCCTTAGGCATGCATGATACACCTTCCTGAGACCAGCAAAACTTAGGCGTGTGTCTTTCTTGCTACATTCAGCAGCCTAGCATGAAAGAGGGATGTGTTGATTATAGATCTCTCGATGAAACCTAGAGTTGGTAATTTGCATACCGATCGATATTTTTGGCGTTCCTGCCGCAGTGTTGGTTCAGAGTTGAACAAACTGCCGCACCTCGAAGTTCCCAAATGCGCCGCGGCCGAAGAAGGGCAAGACATCCGCGAAGAAGAAGAAGGCGGCGGACGGCTCCGGCACCTCGAAGGCGCTGAGGAAGAAGCTTGCAGGGTGTGTGACGAGCGCGGCGGCTACCGAAGCGCCGCCGAGCTCACTTGTTGAGCCGGGGCCGACGCGCACCATGTGTTCGACGATATGCCCCAAAGGTAAAAGAAATCCTGAACTTTTTTTTCCTTCTTTATTTTTTGAATGCATACATATAGATAGCTTATTGCCTTATTCTATATATATACTTTGTAGTGTGAACGATGATGCATACATGTCAACTATGGGTGTTGGCTCGAACAATTTGCATTGGTCTCAAACCAACGACATGCATTTTGAAGACCATGAGTTCGAGGTGGACGAGGATGGTGAGGGCATTGTCGACGCACCGAAAGGAAGAGCGGACAATTACTCCAACGCCGAAGACATCTTAATATGCAATACTTGGTTGCAAGTGTCGAGGGATCCATTCGTTGAAGGTGATCAAAGTAGAGATGCTTATTGGCTCCGGATGAAAGAACACTTTGATCTTCGCAACGTGAGTGGAATTGACCGCTCGGCACGTTCACTTCGCTCCCGATGGTCGACCATCAATAGGGATTGTCAACAATGGTCGGCCGCACAAAAAGCGGTTGAGAAGTTGAACCCAAGTGGCACCAACGATGATGATAGGGTAAGTGTGGTTTCATCATTCCTCATGTTCACATCATGCTTGTTGTTGGTGTTTCTTGTGCTAAACTTGTTTTGTTTTCATATAGTTGAATATTGCACAAAACTTGTTCAAAGGAGAGGAGAAGAGGACCAAGAAGGGGAAGATCAAGAAAGGAAGGCCATTTTCCTTGCCTCATTGCTATGAAGTATTGAAGGATGATGAGAAATGGAAAAAGCGTGAGGATATTGATGATTTGGATTTGAGCAAAAAACGCAAGCGAACAATTAATTTGGAAGATGATGATGAGGATGATGCATCAAGTGAAGATGGCAAGAGAAGCCCCACCCCAAACTCGGTTTCATACTCGAAGCCAAAACGACCGGATGGCACGAAAAAGGACAAAGAAAAGAAGAAGAGGAAAGGAGATTATGAGATCAAAAATGCTATGAAAGCAATTGTCAACGCAAGAAGAGAAGCCAGCGAGGTGAGGAAAATGGCAAGGAACCAAGATGCCGCGGCCAAGGAGAGGAGGGTGGCCGCCGAGGAGAGGAAAGTGGCATTGGAGGAGAGGAAGATGGCCATGGAGGAGCGAGCTAAGTTGTTGGAATGAAAATCGCATGAAGATGCCGTTCAAGATCTTGGCAACACCTTCCAAGCTTCACGTGATGATGATACGTTGCGCAACAATGAAGAGGAGGAGGAAGAATCGTCTTCGGAGGAAGAGGATGAAGACGAAGACGAGGACAAGGCTTGATTCTTGTGTCTTTCGTTTGTGTCATAAACTTGGTTTGTATGTTGAAATTAGTTTAATTATGTTGTGGGCATGAACTTTTGGGCACGAACTTGGTTGGAATGATCTTTGTGATTCCATATATGCAATGTGTTTTGTGTTGAAGTATAAAATTCGTGCCCAAAATGAACAAATGTGTGCGCCTGTGCGCGCCGCATTTTAGCGCTTCTGCTGGAGCAAGCGTTGCGTGACGCGCCAAACCCGGCGTTGCGCGCGCCGCAAACCAGATTTTAGCGCGCCGCGCGTTGGGCGCCTGTTGGAGATGCTCTAAGCTTGATATTGAAACTCATTTAGCCAATGTATTGCCAGTTGCCACATTCTTTTTTTTTTTCACAAAGTTAGCTTCCACATCCTTGCTATATTTAAGGAGTACTTTGGTTTATTTGTTCTCTGGAAACTGCACCCCCGTCTTCTTTGGCTCATTTGTTCAACTTATGAGGGAAATGAGGAGGTCCTTCTGCTATTGTTCAGGCTTGAATCCAAGAAAGTTGAACTGCATGCACCATGCTCTTAGTTAGGCATGTGACCAGCAAACTTATATAGGCGTGTGTCAGCAGCCTGGCATGAAAGAGGTGGTAATTAGGCGTGTGTCAGCAGCAACCTTAGTTAGGCATGTTAATAATAGATCTCTCGATGAAACCCAAAGGTCGTAATTTGCATACCGAAACAGTCAATCGTTGTAGGTTACGTGCTCTCAAGTCTTGAATTGTACTTCCTTCGTCCCATAATATAAGAACATTTTTGACACTACACTAGTGTCAAAAACGTTCTTATATTATGGGACGGAGGTAGTACTAATCAAGAATTGGCATTCTTAACGGTATCTTCATATTCATCTGCAACAACTAAATACAAAGAAAAGACACGAATATGCAGATTGGATAAAAATGAAGTTGTGCATGTTAGAATAATGTTTAGGTTAGACCTAGACCCAGGTCAAAATAGAAGTGTTAGTTAAAGTGGTGTGGGACTTGAGCCACTTGCTATGTTCAGACTTATAAACGGTGTTTCGGTGGTGCAGCTCGTCAGCTCCCGTGGAATAAAAACTCACCCGCGAAAAAAGGAGAAAAGAAAAAGACTTGAGATACAGTTTGGGAACTAGCTGCTACTGTTCGAAGCTGGTATGCCTGATCGCATAAAATTTGAACAAATCTTGCATGAAATTCCATCCCTTAAACTACTGTACCGTAGTAGTGTAGTTAATAGCAGCCGTTGGAGATGGATTCTGTTTCAGAAACAGTCCAGGAAACAAGCTAGCAGTAAAACCCCAAACACCATAGGCCCATCCAAATGAGGAGAGCAAGAGCTCCCCCCATGAAGCTGCACGAAAAGGCGAGCTCCTAGATCAGGCCGTCTCCGTCCCATCATTTTCAGTGCGCGCACAGGCTCACCCACCCACTCGCTCACTGCCAGTTCCTCACTCCCAATCCCACTGTGGCCACCGCGAGCCATGATTTTCCCTGCAGGTGCTCCCAGCATATGAGTACAAGGAAATGAATTTGTACTACGTGCTTGTAGTTTTCTGCCTGAAGTTCTGAATTCTGAAACCTGTCTCCCACATGGCGGGAAAAGGTATGCACGTGGAGTTCACGTGCATGGCCCTACTAATCCATCAGCGTGCGTGCAGTGCAATGCTCAGCTCAGCTCAGTGTCAACAAGGGTAGATCTCATCTGATCAAAAGTGGTAAAGCACACAACAAAAGGCTATTGAACTTCAAGGTCCATCAACTCAGTGTATCTTATATGTTAGTGATTTACAGAGGCTGTCGTCAACAGATTACACCGAGAACAAGCGTCATTGAAGCCTGACGAAATTTGCCGACATGAGGGTGAGCTGAACAAAGCCTTTATCTACTACTCGTAATGTTTAGGTGGGTGGTGAGCCTGCAAGATCAAGATCAACCCCATGGCAGGCAGCATCTGATGAGGAGGAATCAATCGCTCTGCTGATTGAGATTCTGCTGCCTAATTTGGCCTCTTTGCTGCATGTTTGCCGAGTAGCAATCTGATGTGGTAGCACTGCAGCATCTCTAAGCAAAATTGATGTATTCCCGAACACGACAGTGATTTTACTGGTAAAAAAATAGCACAACTTCTGCAAGCCTTCCCGGCGGTGCGCTCCGCTTTCCCGATGCGATACCTTGGCTTCCGCTATCGGTCAAGCGTCTCAAAAATATTCAATTTCAACCTCTCATTGACAAGGTCGCTAGCAAGCTCCCCCCCCCCCCCTCTTGTCAGGGAAGACACGTTGCTAGTACTGGGCGTGTGGTTCTCGTTAAAGCGGTACTCACGGCCATCACGATTTATCACCCCACGCCTCTCGACATCCCCGTGGAGTAGCTTTTGAAGAGATAAACCTGACTTGTAGTAGCTTCTGTGCGACACGTTCCCTCACAAAATGATAGTCAATCTCAATGTGTTTAGTCCGTGCATGGAACACCGGGTTTGATGACAGAAACGTAGCATCGATGTTGTCACACCACAGGACCGACGAATGTGGTTAAGCAACTCCTAGCTCTCGAAGTAGGGACTCAATCCATATAAGTTCAGCAGTTGCATTGGCAACTGACTTGTACTAAGCCTCTGTGCTGCTACGGGAAACAGTGGCTTGCTTGCGTGCACTCCAGGCGATCAGATTAGGCCCCAAGAACACAGCATGTCCCCCCGTAGATCGCCTGTCATCTGGACACAGCC